ATTCCCAAATTGAGACATGGATTAAAAAGGAAAAAAAAAACAAGTATTCATTAAAAAGGGGAAAAAAAGAAGGGAAAATAGAAGAAAAGAAGGTCCTAGACTTTGATGAGTCAAGTAGAGTGAACATGTTCAAATGCCATTATCGAATCCATCAAACTAGAACCCTGTATACAAGTTTACCAGAGGCGTTCCAATGTCTATAACATAAAGCATCAATCTTGGTCAGGTAAAGCCTCAACTGTAGAATTTATGTCATTTCCAATATGCTAAATAATTTCAAAAAGTAGGCACTCTAGTCTAGGGCCATATAAACCTACTCTCTAAACCCAAAAAACAAAGAGCTTTTGTAGTTGTACTAAATTGACAAACCAAAAAGATCATATATTTTCCAACCTCACACACCTAGATGAAGCAATTAATTCAAAACAAGCACTAAAAAGATGATAAGTTTCCATCAAATTCAATCTGGATTTTATCTCAATCTTTTCACAGGTGATCATGCTTAGTTTCAAATTAAAAAACCCAGATTTGTGTGTTGGACTTTGATTAAATATCAGGCTAAGGTCTCAGCTTTACTTTCTTTTTTGTTTCATACGTTCTTGATATGGATTTAACATAACTATGTTAACTAATGAATATTCTCTACATTGAAAACTGAGTTAAATACTCTTATGAATCTAATGTTTTGCGAGAGTTTGGGATGAATTTCAATTTGCATTTGGTTGGTATTTGATTTTTGTGACTAATATAATATCCTCTTCTCTTTTATTCAATTTTGTACATCTATCCATCTTCTAGATCTAATATTAGATGTCATTTTTTTTAGTCTTGATTCTATGAAATGTATCACTATTTCTAATTTTAAATATTATGATGTACTAAATATTCTAAAACATATTGGATTGAATAGTTGGAGATAGTTTTAGGTGGTTTGATTGATTGACTATATTTTATGTTATATACCGTCTTCAAGCTTGCTTTTAATTTTTTTGTTTGTTAAATAGTATCTTTAGATACAAACAATTACTAGTTTATATAATAAAAAAGAACAAGTTTTGAATTCAAAGGCAAAAAAACGACTAAGATCGTTTTATGATAAAAAAAAAATATATCATCCGACGGACGATATTATCTCGATTTGTCTCAAACTATTAGAACCTGATTGGTATGTGGGACAAGGAGGGATTTGGAAGATGGGTTGAGGAATAAAAGTCCACAAAACCCTACAAACTCATGTTTGACATCTACATTTGTAACCCAATTTATTAAACCCAGCCTGCAATTTAAACCCAAGTTCATGGGTTTCATGAAACCCAGTGGGGGGTGGGTTTCATATGGGGCTTAATGGGTTTAATATACAAAATGACATTTATACTCCCATAAAACCCATGTACCTAAACAAACATGAGTTTGAATTAAATTAGTTAAGGAGCACAATAGTGATTTATATACAAATATATTATCATAATAGTTATATATTCATGCGCATACTAAACATTGATATGGACTGCAGTGAATGTTGAATCTCATCTCTAGGATTGGAAGGGTTTGGACAAATCAATCCAAACCCAAAAAACCAACCAAACTGCCCTTTAATATCTAAGATTATCTCAAAATTTATTGTTTCTACACACCAAAATGAATTCCCAAAATTTTATATCGCCCAAAAAACTTTGGGGTTGTTTGTTTGCTGTTTTATATTTTTATTTTAAGTTTTTTTTTTAAAAAAAAAAGAAATGTGTTTGGTAATTATTTTTGTTTTTGTTTCATCTACGTTGTCTTGGAAACAAGCTAAAAAAATGGAAATAAAAAACTGATGTTTTGGGAAACAACCCAAAACTGAAACACGCGAATTTTGACTCAAAATTTTATAGAGAGAATTACACTCAAACCGCTGAGGTTTGTCATTTAATCATTCAAACTCTCTAAAATTTAAAATATTACACACAAATCCCCTAAGGTTTGTACACACGTAATATTTAGACCTTTGTCGTCAAATGTCTGTTAGTATATCTGTTAATAAATTAAATTCAGACCCCTTAAAGTTTGTAAGTATATAATATTTACACCCCTTAAGTTTAAAATGATATAATTTGACAAAAAATATCCCAATCAAATATAGAATATAAAATATTTTAAATTTTATAACCAAAATTCATTATCTATTATATCATTTATTGAAATAAAATTAAAAATAAAAGTCAAATTTTTTTCAAAAAATAATAATTAGTATACAATTATATTATCTATTGAAACAAAACTAAAAAAATCAAGCATGAGACTTAAGTCATTCATAACATAACATGAATTTTACAAACCAAAATTCATATTTTATTATGTCATTTATTGAAATAAAATCATAAATAAAAATCTATTTTTTTCTTAAATAATTCATAATTAATATATAATTATACTATCTATTGAAATAAAATTAAACAATCAAATAAGAGGTTAAACTATAACGAACACAATATATTTTAATTTTACTTGGGATAATTTGGTCGTTTAAATGACCAAATGGTCAAAGTAACTCCAGCTATATTAGCTCGATGCGCCTATATGTATCAGGTATTAGTAGGCTCTGCCCCAAGAATCGTAAACCGGGAACCTGGAGGAGAAGGCAACAGGCAACAGATGGAGCATTCAGAGAGGTTTTAGTTCACATTCATTCAACTGAACAAACACGAGCTATTGAGTAAGATAAGACTATCAAACTATAATGAACATAATATATTTTAGTTTTAATTGGAGTAATTTGGTCATTTAAATGACTAAATTAAATTCTAATAGATAGTATGATTATATACTAATTTTGTTTTTTTTTAAAAAAATGGATTTTTATTTTTTATTTTATTTCAATAAATTTAATAATAGAATATGAATTTTGGTTGTAAAATTTAAAATATTTGATATTCTATTTTTAATTGAAGTATTTTTGATCTAAGTATAATATTTCAAACTTGAGGGGTCTAAGTATTACACGCTATAAACTTTAAGGGTTATGGATGTAATTTATTAATGGATTTATTAACACATTGACGACATGGGTCTAAGTGTAAGTCGCATACAAATCGCAGAGGTTGTGTATAATATTTCAAATATCAGAGGATCTAAGTGATTAAATAACAAATTTCAAGAGGTCTGAGTATAATTCTCCCAAATTGTTAATGAGGTCTCGAACCTTGTTAACAACAACATTGGATTATTTTTTTAGGGCTAATCTTAACTTCTAAATTGAAAGATTACTTGAATCTCAATTTGTACTCTCGAAAATTAAAAATATCAATTTACACCTTAAAGACATAAATTTGTATCAATGTGCACCTCAGATTAACTGTCATCCATTTTGTCGTTAAAAAAGTTTGGATTAATTATAAATTGCAGCCTTAAAACTCAAAATTTTCATATTTATGATCCAAAAATAGTATTTCTTTCATTAATGCTCGTTAATTAGCTCTCAATTGTATCGTACCATAACATTTTTGTGTCATGTTCGAATCAATAAAAAAATATTTTAAAAATTTTTAAAAATTATAAAATATATATTTTTTGCTTATTATACTTGTTAAATAGTTTTTGTCTACAATTAGACACAAATTTTCTGTTCGATCAAATTAAAGTTAGATTTGAATAACACAAGTGTAGAAAAAAAAATAGCAATTTAATAAGCATTGTAGGTAAAAATAAGTAAGTATTTTTGTAATTTAAAAAAAATATTAAATAGTATTATATAAATTGTCGTAAATGTGAAATATACGATATAATGCAATTGACTCGATATGAAAATATTTTGTGTTAAAAACATTGTTTTATCGACTTGAACACAACACGAAAATGATATGACATGATACAAAATAATATGATAGGACACAATTAAGAGGTATTTAACAAGTATTAATGGATAAATTCTTTTTTAATCATAAATGTGAAATATTTAAACTTTAAAGGTGTAGTTTGTAATTATTCCAAACTTTTTTAACGGCAAAATGGATGGTAGCTAACCCCTGGTGCACATTAACACAAATTTATGTCTTTTAGGGTATAAATTGATATTTTTAAACTTTGAGGGTATAAATTAAAATTCGAATGATCTTTTAGGGTGTAAGTTGAAATTAGCCCTATTTGTTATGTAGGTATAAATTGTGGGTTTTTGTTGTCTCGCTCTGGTCTCACACACACGCACACACATCTCTCTGTTCTGGACGATGAAGAAGGTCGAAGAACAAACACACTCGAAGAAGGCAATGAAGCTTTGCTCCTCGATGCTTTGAACCCAGAACCCGAAGAAGTCATCTGTGCAGAAATCCATCAATCTTTTTGTCTCTCGTTGTGCACAATAGGGTAAACACTTTTAGATCTATGTATATATATATATGCTTTATATAGGCATTGAATAGGTCCCCATCTTTTTTTTTTTTTTTCTTTTTTCCCTAAACAATTCTGTGTCATTTTATGTGTTATGTATTGGTGGGTGTGAGTCTGTGTGTTTGTGTGTGCTGATCTGTTGAGCGTGTGCTGTGTGTTGAATGTGTGATATGTTTAATGACTTATTTAATCTAATTATTTTATTTTATGTGTTATTTGATGAATTAATGAATCTTTTGAGATAATAAATTTTAATTTGTATTTTATTGTACGTGATATTATAAATATTGATTTGTTTGTATAACTTGGACCGGTTAATTAAATATGTTTTTTTATTTTGTTTTCGTAAAAAGATAAAAATAAATAACTTTCAAACATATTTTTATTATTTATCATCAAATAAAATAAAAATTATTTCTATTTTTTTTAAAAAAAATACTAAAATAAAATCGTTACCAAACGACCAATCAAATTTCTATTTTTTTAAAGTTTTTTTTTGTTTTTAAGTAAAAACTTTCCATTTTATACTCTCTTATCTCTCCTCCCCTATCTCCCGAAATTAACACCCAAATCCCTCTCTCCGTTAACGATTTCAAATCCCATGGCCTAAACTCCTCTCCATAATTCATGCCTATTCACTTCCTCTCTCGCGCTTTCTCTCCTTCTCTTCTGTTATCGACTAACTGCTCCAGATCCACTACCAATAGCAGAGATGGCGAACCCACCGCTACTAGCGCACTACTGTCTGTTAGGTCTCTCTTTGCTTTCCCCACATTAACACCCACCGTTTGAGGCCTCTCACTCTCTAACGAGCGAGCGACCAAATCAACGGTGTAGAGACCACATCGAGCAATAGTAACTACTAGATTCATGGCACCAGAGATCACATCCTCCGGCGGACAGAGACTAGATCTCCAACCACATGCTCCGGCAATACTAAACAAAGCAAAGCTTTGATATACTTGTGTGAAGTTGTTGAGTTAATTTAATGGATCCTTTTTCTGTAATCTTCTTTTCCTTCCCTTCGGTATTTATAAAAAATAACTGTTACTCGTGTCAAACTTTTTGACCATAGCTATAATTATGACTTTTTTTATGGAGATACGTAGACATGTTGAATCGTTTTTAATTAACATGTCTTTAAATGGTGTCTCATAATGTCAATTTTTTTTTTTCGAATTCTTAGATTTTCACCTGTTTAATCACTCTATTAAATTTGAACTCTCACTGAATTTTTTATTTTATGTGGAGTGAAATTCGTGTGTATCCATTTTAATGGGTAAAATTGACATTTGGACTTCCAACTAGTTCGGAGAATTGGGACAAAAAGTGGTTTATTTGCATTAAAGTTTTCGTGGGGATAATTTCGTCATTTCGTTCCTAATAGCCCTGATGGCCGCCTAGCTCATCTACATATACGAGCACAGGTCTCTGTGTACGAATAGATTTTCCTAGTTGGCGCCCAGAAAGCCAGTGAGTGAGAAGACGACGAGACGGACACCTCTCCTTCTTCACTCCCGAACTCTCCTCCTTCTTCCCCAAATCCGGCCATTACTAAATTCAGATTACCATATAAATTAGATTCTCAAATTGATTGATTTAAATCCTGTGTACCAGTACAGGAAAAGTTTATTTTTTGCCAATTCCTACGACACTGATCGCCGGAAATGACTGACGGACAGGTCATAAAGCGTGCAAGGTATAAATCGTCAGTCAAGGACTTTGGAGTTCCTGGTGTTCTGAAAATGGTAATTTTTTTGATAGTTGAGCAAAGTTTCTACATGTGAAAATGCTTCATTGTTGTTACTGCGTGCAGACTCGGGAGAGGTTTTTTTTTATGCCAAATGATCCGAAATCACAGGTATATTTGATTTGATATTCCTTGCAGTGATGCTGTCTTAAACCAGACAGAGGACCTTGGTGTTTCACTTCCTCTTTCCTGTTTCAGCTTCATGGAGAGGATGACAACATTAGCAGGAGTAAAAATTTTTGACTGCCATGTCAAGAAGGATGAGCAGGAACAAGTGAATTATCGGAGCTGTGATTGTGGTCCTTCTTGTTGCTATCATCTTAATTTTATACTTCAAGCTTTCAAAATAGTCGAGACACTCTTTTCTTGGGGTTGTGTTGCTCTCTGAAGTCACAAGTTTTTGGCTTCTCTTTTTTTGTTGTGCTTGGTTTATTGAAGTCCTGTTGAGTGGATAATCATATATAATGACTCAAATTTCTGTTGCTTTGTGTGTTTTTTTTTTGTGTTGTCATTTTCTGCTGTTTCATTATCAAATGAGAATGAGATCAGAATTTCGAAAGATTGAAAATGTTAATATAGATTAAATTGAAACAAGTGAATGGAATGAAATTTCTTTTGGTTCTGTCGACATTAGATGAAGTTTGACTTTGATTTCATTTGTGGCATTTTCTGATGGTGATGTTTTTTTTTTTTTTGAACTTTGATAGTTATGGGTTTTGGTGGAGTCAAAATAGTAACTTCTATTGCGCAGGAGCATCTTGCTTGTCGTCACCATCCTGAGGGATATAAAAAAGATGGAGATTCATGGTATGTGAATGTACAACATTTTACACCACTGGCGTCTGATGATACATTAAAAATACTGAATTTTTTCTCAAGAAAGAGAGCAATTTTCATCAGCCAGGCACCCCTCTAGCTTCACTCTTTTTAGAAGGAAAGAGAGGGGACATGATCCACCAACTTACCACCGAGTAATTAGTGTGTAATGGTAGTTGATGTTGATTTTTTTTTTTTTAAATTTGATTTATTAGGTTCTAAATAATCCCCAAAAGAGAGCAATCTATGATCAGTATGGTGAAGAAGGGCTACAAGGGCAAGTGCCACCACCAGAAATATTTAATCTGCCATTTACCTTTGGAGGAAAAATATTGAAATCTACATGAAAGATTCCTCCCATGTTGATGCCTTCTCTTTCTAATGCAGTATAAGGATGGTGCAAACCACTATACATTAAATGAGGGGCTTAAAGAATGACCGCTTTTGTAACACTGCTTTTATTTTTGAAATGATTTAAATTAAATAGATGCACGATTAGATACTATATTTCTAAACTGGATTCACTCGTTTCTCTTCTTCCTATCTTTTTTTTTTTTTAAGAAAAGCGAAATCTTATTTGATTGAATCTCAAAAATTACAAGAATCAAGAACAGAAACTGTTTCAACAAGAAAACAGTAAACTGATTAAAAAAAACCAAAAAAATTTCTATAAAACTGTAGTATTTTCTTCTGTACAGCCTGCAGCATCCTCACCTCAACTTCTGGCTCTTAGAACCCCATCCTTTTCAGCCTTGCTGAAAGCATATAGGACTCCTGGAATAAAAATAATCTTCCAGTCAGGTAGAATGCCACTAACTGAAAAATCAAGATCAGTCTGCTATACATAGTTGCTGATTTTTTGGCTCCATTCACTGATTTTTCAGTTAGTGACATTCTACCTTTGACTGGAAGATTCATTTGACTTGGGTTCTCTAGCACTTGAATCAGGCACAAAGAGCTTGTAAGGCAGCATTGGCAATAACCATTTCCAAGAAAGATCACATTGGCAATTTAGAACATACATATATACACTTCAGGTAATGGACCAATTACTCAATAACACAATCAATAATCAATTCAACTCAATAATCTACTCAATAACACAACTCAATAATCAATAATCTACTCAATACCCAGAACGCCTCTTCGTGACATCAGTTACACTCTATACAAAAGATGAAAAATTGCAAAAGAGAACTCTTCCAAAATATTAAAAGGCATAACACCTTCAGTTCAGGAACGACATTGCTCTAATGATGTTCAACACCCAAGTTAAAAACATTCAATATTGATATCATAACAGGATTCAAATTAAAACTATTATCAATCCAAAAGATACTTGGGTGGATCCAGAAGTAGACCCATCTTTATTTATACTCAAGATTTTCAGTGGACCAACAAATTACCTTTCCTATATGTTCAAGCCTATGAAAAATTACACTTAAATCTGATGGTTCAAAACCTTTTCTTCACCAATCATTCTAAATCCATTTAACCACTCTTCCTATGAAGAAGAACCAAACTACCAGAGTTACAGAGAAATGTTCCTAAAGGAACCATAGAAGAAAAAAGATGTATTCAAACTTTAATTGATCAATGCAACAAAATGTGCGCACAAATTGAATAAAACCAACTATTGTTCATGCAATATAAGCACAACCAAATCAAGCAACAAACATTCAAGAGATCAAGAAAAGTTGAAGAACATTTACCAGCACAATAGTGGTGATGTCACGAAGAGGCGTTCTCGGGTACCGAGTAGTGCTAGGCGGTGATGGGGCGGCCTTTGATGGTTGGGTGGTGCTGGGTGGTTGTGGATGGTGATGCGATGGTGGTGCTAGCAGTTGGCTAGGGGGTGTAGATGGTGAGATTTCTATTTCTCTCGCCTGAAAACGTTAGGGCTCAGATGGGGAGAGGGGGAAGAAGGGAAAATAAGGGAAAGAAAGAATGGGAGGGAAAAAACGATGTTCAACTTAAAGACGTCAGTTGTACTGACGTTTTTAAGGTCCTTGAAATGTGTCTGTTCAAGCTTAAAAACGTCATTTGGACTGACGTTGTAACGCCCCAAAACACACTCTGGATGACATTACATTCTAAAATCATTCATATCATGAGAGCACTAATATAATCTCTTAAGAAACAAGATTTCATTTGTCATCCACGAATATTTACAACATTATCCAAAAGAATAAGTTCAAGTCATGACTATTACATCTCAAAAATTAATTAAAGAAGCGCAGCGGAATAAACAAAAGAAGCTAGACTGCACAATGTTCCAAAAGAATGTCCTAGTCTAGTACAAAAGGAAAAGAGGTCGCTCTATGCGTCCACCTCGGAATCCACACTCCCGTCCCGTGGAGTCTCCCAAGTAGCGGGTAATCTGAAAAATGTTAGCGATAGGGAGTGAGCACGAAGCTCTGTAAAAACATTCTCCCAAACCCATACAAGGTTTAGAAAAGTATTTAAAACAGTCGGTCTCAATTTTAACATAACATAGACACATAATTTGAAATAAAGCAGTGACATTTAAAAATGATCTCAAGTTTATTTAAAAATATTACTTAAATGAATAAATGAGCACCACATACAAATAATAACAATTAATTGTCATAACCAATTTTCAACAATTCTTTCGGTAGGTGGCATACTTTGTGGTAACCTCCACCCCCTTTTAGGTCACCTTTGATTCTCAAGCATCCTTACCAGGAACCTCTTGAAAATGGATGAGCATCCTTACCGGGAACCTCTCACCAATCACTACATTATTTTTCAAGCATCCTTACCGGGAACTTCTTGGGAAGGGGTGAGTATCCTTACAAGAAACCTCTCACTCATGTGCATCATAAACAACCCAACCAAGCATAAAATTCCAACATTTATCTCAATTTACAAGCATCTATCCATAATTTTCAAAATATATCATATAACAATTCCACAACTAACTAAGAAAATACATGAGATCACAATAACATCATTTTTCTACCCAACACAAAACACTAAGGTTTTGAAATCCATAATAAAGAAAGAATTTAGGAAGGAAATACATCACTCTCCAAAAATTAGGGTTTTAAAACTAGAAAGGAGATTTCATGGGTATTAAACCCTACTTTGTTCAAAACATGTAATCCTTGCAAAAAGCCTAAGAGAGGATGATTCCATAGCATATATATACCATTGATAGCCAAAACATACATATATAAATACCCTAACCTCAATGTAAGTGAATGAGAGAAAACCCCTACCTTGAATCCTTAGCTTTGGAGTGAAGAACAAAAATATTTGATCTTGAATCACCCTTAAATCTCTTGTTTTTCCCTTCCTTTCTTCTTCTCTAATGCCCTCTAGAGTTTCAAGAGGTGTGGGGGTGTGAGGGGAGTGAAGGAAATGAGAGCAAATGAGATGAAAATGAGTTTTAAAATATAGCAGCCCCGAAAAATATTGTTCACAGGCTGTTTTGGGTTTCTCCAAATTTACGGTTTTACCACTAAGAATCTTCAATTTGATCCATATGACTACCGTAAGGTTTTTCGGCGTTCCGGATTCATTTTTAATGTTATTTTAACCTAAAAACATTTATTTTTATGATTTATCTCAACACCTAAGTCAACGTACACCCGAAACACTAAAATTTCTCATTATTTTTATATTTTGATTTAGGATGCAAATAAAGACATTAAATGCAAAACGAAGTTAATTGGACTATTTTGACATCATTTCTTTATCTGAACATAACTCTTTCATCCAAGCTCCGATTGAGATGATTCAAGATGCTATGGAATGATACGAAAAAGCTCTAAAACTTTCATGTTATGAGTTTTAAGAGATATTGACTGCATCAAGGTCTAAATCGAGCTTGAAGTTGCAGCAGTGCATTGTTCATAGCCTGTATTCGTCCCTTTTCCATTTCCAATCCATTCCTAAGCCAACCAAATCTATCCCAAACCTCTCCAACACATATTTCTACACCAAACCTATTTAATACAAGT